CATTCTGTGGAAATATTTAACAAACCTACCTAATATAATAATCAAGACACTTACAACAACATAATCATTTTTTTATAATCAAACTTTACAGTATAAACGACAATAATCAATGGTACAGTACTTAAACAACGTGAATTTACTTATTATAAAACATGTGACATAAAACGTTGTAATTTATATTTTAAAATGTAACTAAGTGATAAATACATAAATAAATACAATCAAAAAAAAATTAATGTAATTGAGATAATAATGTAAAAAGTAAGTTTTTTCTTTGAAGTTCATTTTTTAATAAAAATTAATTCTACATAATAATAATATTATTATTATGTAAACTCAAAAAAATGCCAAGAGCAGTTTATTATTCTATTTCTCATTTAAATAAAATAAACTATAGAAAATGAACAATAAGTAATAATCAATCGAATGTTAATTCCTGGAGCATTTAATGCAATACCATTGAACGGAATCTTTTATTTTTTCTCTTTTTCATTTCTATGGAAAATAGCGTCTCGAATTTTTTTTCTTTCCTCTTCTTCATCTAAGTCATCATCTTCGTAATAACTGTCATCGGTTAGGTCTTCCTTTTCGTTTTCTTCTTTGATTTTTTCGTTCTCCAATTTCGCCATTTTCCCGAGTTTTTCGATTTGTATTGAGGACCATCCCACGGGTTCTTTTTCTTCCTTTTCTTCTTCTTTTTCTTTGTCTTGTTTTTCTTGTTCTTCCATTCTTTTTTCTCTCTTTGTTCGAACTCTCATCGGGCACTGCGTTTTGAGATGCCCATACTCCCCACATATATAACATTTGTTCCGTACTCGGTTACAAAGCACTCGCACGTCATTTCCACCGATTTTATTTTGATCAAAATCGTTGCACAATTCCGTCGCCGACTCGATGCTTTCTAGTGTGATTACTACAGTCGTCCCGTCTATGTCGCCTTTCTTCCCAATTGCTCTCTGGAAACTTTCGATGTGTCGGGAATGTAAAAATTCCTTGAGTTCGTCGTCAGTCTTATTTTTGTCAAACTTCGTCACTTTCAGTGTTTTTTTAGATTCGTCCGTTAGGTCGTAATTTACTTTAATTTCAACACCGTCAAACTTTTTGTGGTTAAATTTTTTGATGAGATGTTCGGCATGTTTTTCACTATCAGTTTTTAAAAAAACTAAACCAAGTGGAGTGTCTTCTTTAAATCGAGGAACATCAATTGATAATGGTTTGTATTTATCAAACAATTCGTGAATCTCCTCGTCTGACGTGCTTTTTGGTAAATCCATCACCTTTGCAATGATTGATTTGTCGTTTTGAACACGCTTTTTTATTCTTCGTGGTTGCTTGCGTTCTCCTTGCTTCTTTCCTCCCATAAAGAAATGGTTTGAATTCATCAATTATAAAATAGGGTTATAATGTATCACATGTATTATTATTGTTAATGTAATATATTATTAATTATAATACATTGTTTTCATTTGTGTGGAACAAGAAAAAAATTTTTTATCATTTAAAGTTCAATTTATAATAAAAGTATTATTGTATAGTAAAATATTAATATATTATATTATAATAATTAACAATAATACTCAATATAATAGTTTTTAATATTTTTAATTAACAACAATAACACTATTAATTTAAAAATAAATAAAATGATATTTTTTGAATCAACTTAATTATACAGTAAAACCTGGATATTTTCTAATTTTTAGGGAGAAAAAACCTGGACATTTTATAAAACAATTTTTATAAAAACAAAAATGTTATTGTGTTTTGTAAATTATTGTAAGTTGTGGCATATTTGTCTGTGTGGTAAATCAACTATTCAATTTCTTCATTTAACAACTCCAGTACTCTTTTGGCGTAAAACATATCCATTTCATCTGTAAGATCCAACGAACCAAGCTTTTCGATCAAAGCTTTTAGTTCATCAGATATTTTGCTAATTTCAACTTCGTTGTGAGAAACATCTTCTTCTGATGCATCAACAATCGCATATTTTTCTTCTTCTGGTTCTATAACTTCTTCTATGGTAGTCGATTCTTGTATCAAGTTCATTCTTTTTAATTTAGATATATCTTTGTTCAAATCAGTTTCAATGGTTTCTTCATCGGTTGTGTTGTTTAATGAAACATCATTTGGAACCGAACTTGCAACAAAGTATGGTGATTTGTCATTCTTACTGATTTTTATTTCTGTGATAACAAATATAAATTTTGTCGTTTGTTTTTTTTTGTTTTTTCTTTTTATTATTTTTTGGTTAAAAAATTTATCAAACAAATTTTATATTTTCCGAAACTAATAACAAAACCATTTTTACTATTATAAACAATCCAGTTTATAAAATATCCAACATTATAATATCCAGGTTTTACTGTAATTTGTTTTAAAACATTTAAAAACAATGTTTAGTCATTGTTAAAATAAATTATAAAAGTACAAGAACTGCCACTATTAGAAATATCAAATCATAACTGTTTCATGTTTTGTATCATATTGTTCATTGTATGTGTAAGTTGTTGTGCAATTTCTGACTTTTCTAATAAAGGATTAGATGCCAATTTAATTACATCTTCAGCAAATTGTTCAAAATAGTTAGTGATGAAAAAATACAAGTTGACCATTTAAGATTTTGTTTCTTTTGAGGCAAAAATTGTTGTTGAAATGTATTTGAAAATATTAGCTCTGTTTTTCATCAATTGTTCTAATCTTTCTTTCGCTGCTGGTTGTTTGAAAACATTTAAAATTGGTCTTAAAAATTTTATACCTGTAATGAAAACTCTTTGTAAATAAACGTATGTGGTTAATTTGTTAAAAAGTTGGGAGTATAGAAAATTGATGTCTCTTATTGCTCTATAAGCTGCAAATGGAAAAGTTAAGGGGACGGTTCTTTTAGCAGCAAAATTTTCCAATTTTGAAATATCTGAAATAAAGATACCCATTTGATTGTATATAAATTGCATTTTACTTTTTAATTCTTTTTCTCTTTGTTGCAAATTGTCTACCCCACTTTCCAGTTCTCTGGCCATTATGTTTTCGTTGGTATGAATTGCTCCAATCAAATTCCAAGAGGTTGCACAGCAGAAATTATTTGATTTTGAAGAAGAATGAACAGCAAACAATAAAGATTCTGTAACATTTATTGTTTTTCAGTTTAAACATTAATCTTGTTTTACTTTCAAAATTTGTTTTCATTTTGAATTAAATAAAAACTTCATTTTGTTTAGGGGTGTTTTATAGTCATTTCATATTTTAAATAATGTATATTTTTATGAATTCAACTTCATTGCAAAACTTATACAAAAATTGTATATAAAATTAATTTGTGCTTTCCAAATAAATATTAAAAAAATTATAAAGTTTATTTTTTATAACAACTCTAAATACAACAAACCTCCTTAGAGCAGTAAATTTGAAGGATGGTCTCTCTCAGCACTGCAATTTTTATTTTAAATAATGCTGCTTTTGAGAAGTTTGATAGTAAATCTATTCGTTTTTATATGTTTATTTTTTGTTGAACAGTTTTAACAAACAGTTCTAATTCAAATAAATTTGTGTTTTTTAACTTTGTTGTATGTTGAATTATGAAAAAAATATAATCAGAGTTTTTATAATGT